ACAGCATAAAGAGACGGAAAGAGACGCACACTACAGCATAAAGAGACGGAAAGAGACGCACACTACAGCATAAAGAGACGGAAAGAGACGCACACTACAGCATAAAGAGACGGAAAGAGACGCACACTACAGCATAAAGAGACGGAAAGAGACGCACACTACAGCATAAAGAGACGGAAAGAGACGCACACTACAGCGTAAATAGACGGAAAGAGACGCACACTACAGCGTAAATAGACGGAAAGAGACGCACACTACAGCGTAAATAGACGGAATAAGACACTCAGTACAGCATAAAGAGACGGAAAGAGACGCACACTACAGCGTAAATAGACGGAAAGAGACGCACACTACAGCATAAAGAGACGGAAAGAGACGCACACTACAGCATAAAGAGACGGAAAGAGACGCACACTACAGCATAAAGAGACGGAAAGAGACGCACACTACAGCATAAAGAGACGGAAAGAGACGCACACTACAGCATAAAGAGACGGAAAGAGACGCACACTACAGCATAAAGAGACGGAAAGAGACGCACACTACAGCATAAAGAGACGGAAAGAGACGCACACTACAGCATAAAGAGACGGAAAGAGACGCACACTACAGCATAAAGAGACGGAAAGAGACGCACACTACAGCATAAAGAGACGGAAAGAGACGCACACTACAGCATAAAGAGACGGAAAGAGACGCACACTACAGCATAAAGAGACGGAAAGAGACGCACACTACAGCATAAAGAGACGGAAAGAGACGCACACTACAGCATAAAGAGACGGAAAGAGACGCACACTACAGCATAAAGAGACGGAAAGAGACGCACACTACAGCATAAAGAGACGGAAAGAGACGCACACTACAGCATAAAGAGACGGAAAGAGACGCACACTACAGCATAAAGAGACGGAAAGAGACGCACACTACAGCATAAAGAGACGGAAAGAGACGCACACTACAGCATAAAGAGACGGAAAGAGACGCACACTACAGCATAAAGAGACGGAAAGAGACGCACACTACAGCATAAAGAGACGGAAAGAGACGCACACTACAGCATAAAGAGACAGAAAGACACTTACGAGAATTACAAATGTGGAGAGAAGTGATTCCGACTACCGGACCATAATCACATAGTCCTTCTCCATCAAGATATTAAACAAGCGCTTCAACATTAAGATAACAAGTAAGAGCCTGAGTGGCAAGAACACTACTAGGAAGATTCTTCACTGACAGAATCAGTGAAGAATCAGGAAGAATCAGAAGAGCCAGTCTCTTCCTACCTAGCCTGGGAAATCTCTTGCCTACTCTCTCTGACCTTCACTACAAATTCCCCAGAAAAGGAGAGAAGGAGAGTCGAACCTGCACCAGTTGCCCCTCCCTCAGGAATGCATGGAGAGCAGAAAATACAACACCAAACTTCACTACAATAACAAAATTGAAATGAATTACACCTTCGTTAATCTCTTCCAAATTAATCCTGCAGCCATCAGGGAGCCTCAGTCATGTTGTGTGGCTGGAGGTGCTTTATTTTCTGCTGTGTTTTATAATATTGGATATACCGAAACAATATTTCTTTTGTTTTGTGTGTGAACTAGTCTATTTGTTCTTATTGGGGGTTGAGCTTCGGCTCTTTTAGTCCCATCTATCAACCGTTAATCTACTGGTGTACACGCTCCTGAGCCTATTGAGCTCCATCATATCTACATTTGAAACTGTGTATGGAGTCAGCCTCCACCACATCACTGCCTAATGTATTCCATTTATTAACTACTCTGACATCTAAAAAGTTCTTTCCGAAATTGAAATTGAAATAAGTTTATTGAGGTAAAATACACACAATGGGATGAGGTAGCTCCAGCTATTCTCACCCCGTTCAGTACATCGTGTTAATACATACATAGACACACATCACAAGCAATAAACGTATTACCGAACATTCTGAGAGATAAACATATACATTTCCTCCTTTCCGAATGTCTGTGTGTCTCTGGGTACTCAGTTTCCACCTGTGTTCCCTTGTGCAAGTACCACCCGTGTTAAATAATCTACCCTGTTAAATTCCACTGAGATTTTTGTATGTGGTGATCATGTCACCCCGAACTGTCTTCAAGCGACGTGAGGTGCAATTCACGCAGCCTTTCCTGGTACCTCATACCTGTGTGTGAAGTACTCACCTAATTGTACTCACCTAGTTGTGCTTGCGGGGATTGAGTTCTGGCTCTATGGTCCCGTCTCTGAACCGTCAATCAACTGATGTACCAGATGAAGTGTAAGTGACTGTGTATTCACCTAGTTGTATTCACCTAGTGGTGCTTGCGGGGGTTGAGTTCTGGCTCTTTGGTCCCGTCTCTGAACCGTCAATCAACTGATGTACAGATGAAGTGTAAGTGACTGTGTATTCACCTAGTTGTATTCACCTAGTGGTGCTTGCGGAGGTTGAGTTCTGCTCTTTCGGCCCGCCTCTCAACTCTCAATCAATCAACAGTTACTAATTTGTTCCCCTCCCCCCCCCCCACACACGAAGCAGCCCGTAACAGCTGTCTTACTCCCAGGTACCTATTTACTGCTAGGTAACAGGGACATTTGGGTGAAAGAATCTCTGCCCATTGTTTCTCGCCGGCGCCGGGAATCGAGCCCTGGACCACAGGATAACGTGTACAGCGTGTTGTCCCCTCAGCCACCGGCCCCTGTGTGTGTGTGTGCGTGTGTGTGTGTGTGTGTGCGTGTGTGCGTTTGCGTGTGCGAGTGTGTGTGTGAGGTTTATTTAACACAATACTGAGCAAAAGCGAATATTTGACCAACGAGATCCAAAACAGTTCGTTTCATACAACTTTTATGCTTTCGCTTTTACGCAATGTTTTTCCTTAAATATAGGTTGAACTCGGCATTGGATTTCTAATTAACTGTAAATATTAGCCCTAATACACCGGCCTGGCAGTAGACTGATCCCTGTGTGATCCTATGATCCGTCTTACTATATCTCTGACTGCTTTTCTTTTTGTCTGCCTGTCTCTCTCTGCCTGTCTCTCTCTCTCTCTCTCTCTCTCTCTCTCTCTCTCTCTCTCTCTCTCTCTCTATTTCTCTGTCTCTCTCTCTCTTTGTAATGATCCACGGGATCAGGATATGTTGTCACTACTCACACGAGAGACGAGGAGACCTGTTGCATTGACCAATCACAATGGCAACAACTTATCCTCCCCTCTATATGTCAATCCTACTCTTGAAACAATTAAGGGTTTTCACATCTATTGTGTTGCCGGGTAATTTGGCCCACAAATCAACAACCCTGTTGGAAAACCTCGCGACATTTGATGCTAAAGGTGAAGAGACAGACTGACAGCCAGCGGAGATACCAGCGCGCTGCTCTCATTTATAAAATCAGGAGAGTTTATACCAAGTAACTTTTACAAAAGATTTTCTTTCTCTCAGAATTTAGTGTAGAAATACGTTTTCTCCTGAGAATCTTCTCAAGACCGAGCAGCCGACTTTGTCATGGGCTAACTTAATAAAAATTCTATTTTTACATATATTTAATTTTTTTGGGTGTATAATCCAATTTTTTTGGAGATGAAAAGCGTTATTTATCCTGGAATTCATTTACGTAGGCAAGCAGGTATTATGAACAAATGGCTATTTCTTTCAAATTAACAACAGAGTAATTTTGGCGTTTTTCTTAAATATATTATACTATGTCTTTTTATAGGAATTTTTATTTGAATTTTTTTTTAAGTTGTAGCAAATCATTACAATTATATTATTATTTATATATTAAAATATTTATAAATTACTATAATCAGTTTGCAACAATAAGATTGCAACAGTTAGATTGCATCTTTATTGTTCTCAATAATCCTTAATGGACTATATTAGTGCAGAGAAAATTTGCTCAGTACCCAGAGAATCATTCACCTACCCAGTAGATCATTTAAGTATCATAGGCATCATTTCATCAAACACTCACACACACACACGCACACGCACACGCACACACACACACACATGAAGATGAAATTTGGGAGATGAAATACTTCAAGAGTCAGAGAGAGAGAAAGACCTGGGGGTTGATATCACGCCAGACCTGTTCCCTGAAGCTCATATCAAGAGGATAACATCAGCAGCATATGCCAGGTTGGCTAACATAAGAACGGCCTTTAGAAACTTGTGTAAGGAATCTTTCAGAACATTATATACCACATATGTCAGACCAATCCTGGAGTATGCGGCTCCAGCATGGAGTCCATATCTAGTCAAGCATAAGACTAAACTGGAAAAGGTTCAAAGGTTTGCCACCAGACTAGTACCCGAGCTGAGAGGTATGAGCTACGAGGAGAGACTACGGGAATTGAACCTCACTTCGTTGGAAGACAGAAGAGTTAGGGGGGACATGATCACCACATTCAAGATTCTCAAGGGAATCGACAGGGTTGATAAAGACAGGCTATTTAACACAAGGGGCACACGCACTAGGGGACACAGGTGGAAACTGAGTGCCCAAATGAGCCACAGAGATATTAGAAAGAACTTTTTTAGTGTCAGAGTGGTTGACAAATGTAATACATTAGGAAGTGATGTGGTGGAGGCTGACTCCATACACAGTTTCAAGTGTAGATATGACAGAGCCCAATATGCTCAGGAACCTGTACACCTGTTGATTGACGGTTGAGAGGCGGGACCAAAGAGCCAGAGCTCAACCCCCGCAAGCACAACTAGGGGAGTACAAGTAGGTGAGTACACACACACACACACACACACTCTCTCTCTCTTGTAAGAAATTAAAACGTGTGTTCTCCCGAAAGTTTTCCAGCAATAATCAAATCAAGTTTCACAAAAACACTGCCTTCCATATGATGTTTCAACTCCATCCAACTGATCCCACAGACAAACCTATATTCCGTTACCACCCGTTACCACCCGTTACCACCCGTTATCACCGGTTACCACCCGTTATCACCCCTTGTAGTTGAATCCTAGATTTCCCCACCTCCCAAACTCACCTCTGAGAGTAGTCAGGAACAGCATAGCCAACGGCCAGGTAGAGGTCGATGTCAGGAGACCTGTAGATCCTAGTCTGGGGCTGTCCTCTGTCCTCTTCCTCCTCCTCCTCACCATGCAGCTATGGTCGCTCTAAGGGCACAGAAAGATTACAGTTGAAGAGAAACTATAATTGTTATCCACGTGGTTTTTTCTACAACATTTATTTTCCTTGCATGAAAATTTCCTCCTTCCTCGTCCACAACTCCTGCCTCCTCTCCAATTCTCCCCTTTCCCACCACTCTTGCATTCTCCATTACAACCCTCCACGCATGAGAAACCCAAATTTTATTTTCCGGAACCCAGTTATTCTCTTGTAAATAGCCACTGTTATTGTAAAACTAGAGAGCTCCAACTTCCAGGCTTCGACTCAGTCGCTGTCTCGAGCCTAGATCAAGCCAAAAATGTCTAAGAAAAGAAAAATAAACGTTGAACTGCGCTCGCTAAGCCTGTCTCTCCTTGCGTCTTGGAGAGCCAGGTAACAATAACACACATGCCTCTCTCTCTCTCTCTCTCTCTCTCTCTCTCTCTCTCTCTCTCTCTCTCTCTCTCTCTCTCTCTCTCTCTCTCTCTCTCTCTCTCTCTCTCTCTCTCTCTCTCTCTCTCTCTCTCTCTCTCTCTCTCTCTCTCTCTCTCTCTCTTTCTCTCTCTCTCTCTCTTTGGCTAGGATCTTGGGAAGGACGCTCAAGAGGGCCTCAGGAAGAGCGAGAAGCTGTCTATGACACGTTTGAAACATGAGAATAAAGACCTAAACTCTGTTAATGTCACTACATTCGTGTTTCTGTATTTACTTCACTATATTCATGTCACTATATCTCTGCCACTATATTAGTACCACTACACTGGTGTTTAGAATCTGGGTTCACCATACTGGTGTCACTGTACTGGTGTCACTGGACTGTTGTCACTGTACTGGTGTCACTGTACTGGTGTCACTGTACTGGTGTCACTGTACTGGTGTCACCATACTGGGAGACGAAACCCTGAACGTAGTAAAGGAGAAAGGAAGTTGCCTCAGGTAACAAGCAGAGAGAGATTTGGGTGTACAGGACCGGCTCTCGCCTGTCCTTTTGTTTACAAGTGATTGCTAAGTGATTCTCTCCTCTTGCTCCTACTCCTCCTCTCCTACCTCCCTTTTATAGTCCCCTTTCTTCCTCTCTCTCTCCCTCCGTCCAACAATCGCTCACTCCTGCCTACCCCTCCCTCCCTCCCTCCCTCCCTCCCTCCCTCCCTCGCTCCTTGCTTCATTTCGTGTTTCGAAGCACATAGCATCATCAATTGATGGCGCCTTACTTTCTGTGAGCTATATTAATGGTTGTGTTTGTCAGTTGTTTGTCTGTAAATCATAAATCCTCCTTCGTTACCTCCCCCCTCTTCTCTCTCTCTCTCTCTCTCTCTCTCTCTCTCTCTCTCTCTCTCTCTCTCTCTCTCTCTCTTTCCCCTTCTTATCCATTTAAATCACACCCCAACCCTCTCTACAAATGAGGGAAGCAAAAAGGAATAGCAACAAAGTGGGTGGGAGAGTGAAAGGCAGAGAGGGAGGATGACAAGAAGGGAAGGAAGCAAGAATGGAGAGAGGGAGGCAAGATAGATGGAAAGCAATGAGGGAATAAGGCAAGGAGGAAGACAAAGAGGGAGGCAAAGAGGGAGGTAGGTCAAGGCAGAGTTAAATCCATAAATGGGGTTAATAATTTCACTATATATATTCTTACTGAAATTTGTTAATTCAGCGAAATAAAAAATTAATTCAAATTCTGCTTTTGCTGCAAAAAGAATCCTGTTACTTAGGCTTAGTTGATAAGTTTATTATGACTTGTATATATGTATGAGGTTACATAAAATGTATTTGTATGCGATTACATGAAATATACATCAGCCACCAATATCTGTATAACTGTGTCGCTAACTGTAATTCTACTTAATAGTAATTGTATAACTGTGTTTAACTGCGTCTCTGTTTAACGGTGACTGTTTAACTGTGTTTATGTTTAACTGTGACTCTGTTTAACTGTGACTTTATTTAACTCTGGCTCAATTTAACTATGACTATATTTACCTCTGACTCAATTTAACTGTCCCTTTAACTGTGGGTTTTGTTTATCTGAAATTCTGATTAACTGAGCGACTGGTTCTCTATGTCTTTATTTAACTGTGATGGACTAGTATTCCTCTGTTTAACTGCATATTATCCCTTCCACGTCATGAAAAATAAGCTGTATAATTGTGTTTATGCACAACCATGTCGTCATAATCATCACTGGTATCTATACATAACACAACCATAGTTGTAGAGTGTATCAGAGATAATAATTATTATGGGAGATAAAGATACATATATCACTCCTGCGTCATGTCATTTATAACTTGAAAACTGTATCGCAGATGAGCTCAGAACCTCTAATTGACCTTCCCTGAGCTAAGAATCATAACATCATACCATTCCTGACTCTGGTCCAAATGGTCAGGTGATTAAAATCAGCCTGGAAGTGGGCAGTGAACGGTGGGTGTGAATAAAGGCTAAAGTAAAAAAAGGAAAAGGAGATACTAAGAATCAGGTAAACGAACGAGGAATGAAGGTGAGAGGGAAGGAGGAAGAAGAAGAGGAGGAGGAGAAGGAGAGACGCGAGAATTTTATGATTGCGACGAAGGGATAAACAGAGAATACCTACTAATAAAAATGCATTCTTAATGCTTTATGGCTTAAACGTGGCATAGTGGAAACGTTTGACCGTATATGGACCAATCAACGACCTTTGAACTCCGACCCAAATCCAATCAGGAACCTCAAACTTTTTCCTAAAAATAAATATCTTAGCCATGAAAATTTCCTCACGAGTATTGGGGTTTAATTTGATCCCCTCTTTTAATAATAAAAAAAATCAAATCAACCTTGGGCGTGCGTTGATCCCTACGGCCAAACAAGACCAAGACTCCTGCTGTTAGTTAAAATAATTTCCCCCACTGGAAAATATTGAATATGTAAGAGCTCAGCTCTCGGAGGACTTCCAGCTCTGAAGAATTTAAATCAAAATAATATTTTTGTTTGACATAATGGAAATAAAACAATATATAAGAATATAAGGCTACCTGCAGTACTGCTAGCACTAGTAATTTTAGTACGTGTACTGTTTTGCTGGAACTACTATTACAACTACTAGTAATAGTGATAATGATAACAATAAAATACATATATAACAATGACAGTAAGAACAAACAATAGCAAAGTTAAGATTAAAAGATACATTAAGAACAACGATAAATGTTGCACAACGTGGAAATTAAGGCAATAGAAAAAATACAAAAAGCTGAGAAAGAGACTTATGAAGGTGAGTAGAAGAAGAACCCGTGAGTGTGTGTGTGTGTGTGGAGGGGGGGGGGGTGTATTCACTTACACCTGCTTCTCAACTGTCAATCAATTAACTGTTTCTAACTACTAACAATCCCCCCCCCCCACACACAGGAAACAGACTGTAACAGCTGTCTAACTCCCAGGTATCTATTTACTGCTAGGTAACAGGGGGCCATCAGGGTGAAAGAAACTTTGCCCATTTTATTTCTGCCATCAGCCGGGATCGAACCCGGACCCTAGGAATATGAGTACAGAGCGATGTCCACTCAGCTATCAGACCCCCGGGGGTTTATGTGTGTGTTGGAACTCAATGATACAATAGGTGTAGCATTGCTATAATTCGACAAAACAACTCTAAAAGAATGTGTTCACCAAATTGGTATCGGCTGTTGAAATGATCTTGATAGCTCCAAGTACACACACAACCAACCCCTTTGTAAACTCATCTGAAAATACTTATAGAATAAAACCCCCCGAATCACTAACGAGCTAACGCTAACCAATAGGTCAGAGGATTAACCATTGAATTATCAGAACAACGGAATTAATTAGGTAGTAAGCTAATGAAGATCTATATATATGTATATATATATATGCGTATAAATTGGTTTTCTTTGAACTAGGTCTTCTTCCATAATATAAACTATCTAACCACCTAGTAAAAATGCAATAATATTTTGGGTGTTTCTCAAAAAAAGTGAAGTAAAAGGAAAACTTATCACATTTTGGAAAAATATTCCACATTTAAGCAAAATAGTTAAATGTGGCGTGTGAATGCCGTAGAGTTAAATTACACACTGCACCCTTGTTGTTGACCCTCCTCCATCGAGAGTCTAAGATCTCACGAGCACTGTGTCTACACCGACGGCTCAGTCCAGTCTTCTACTGGACGGACTGCAGCGGCATGTAGGTTTTATAGAAATAATATTTGCACAAAGACTGTCAGTGTCAGGTTAAACAACTGGCTGACCTCCACACAAGCAGAACTAGCAGCATTACACTTAGCAACCAGCACATTAAAAAATATTGGAGGAGGAATAATATTCTGCGATTCAAAGTCTGCTCTTCAAGCAATCGAAAACTTCTCTTGGAAGATCGACAGCAAGAACCTCATACTCCCAATTATAAATGACCTAATTGATGCACAGAGTAAAGGGTCTCGAATCTCCTTTGTATGGATACCTTCACACATAAATATAACCCATCATAATGAGACAGATATTGCAGCCAAATTAGCGTGTAACAAGTTAGAAGTTGAATTAGATCTAGGTATCCCCATCTCTGCTGTCAAAACTGTATTGGTCCAAACATTCAGATCTGATAGGAAAGAACTTACTGACTCCCAACGACCTGAAAGTACTAGTATAAAAAGCTATGATTTGTTCAGATCTGAAACCTACATCTATGGACAGCACAAAACGTCCACTAGACTGTGCGACACAGTGGTTGCAAGGATCAGGTTGGGTTACCGTTACCTGTGGCAGGTGGCTGCAGGTGACGGGTCTCCCAATCCTGAGCACTCCAGTTGCAAACTCTGTGAGCAGGAACTACGGCATGATCTCCCGCACTACATCACTGAATGCCCAGTTATTAGACCTTTCAGACCAGTTGGCATGAGGTACCTGGAGCTTTGCAATTACTTTATTCACTCTCGTATTCTTGAAGATATCCTCACAGTGTACCCAAAATTTGCCAGTGCAGGCTATTAAACACATGGCTCTGTATGACTAACCATCCTG